GGAACAACTGACCTTAACTTTCGACTCATTAACAATTCAGCAGGAGATCCTATCTGAGAACTTATAGGAGTATTAAGAATTTCTAACAAACCCAAATAAAAATCATCACCACTTGCTTCACATTTCTTAATAAGATTTTTTACAACTTGTACAAATCTCTCTACCTGACCATTACTTTGACTATAAAGTGGAGAAGATGTTTCATGCAAGAATTTATAAGACTCTGCAAAATTCTTAAATTCTAAACAACTAAATTGAGGCCCATTATCGCTAAATATTACTTTGGGAATACCATGATTAGAACACCATGATTTAATAACATTGATTACAGTAGAACTCTTAGTATTTCTTAAACTTTTGACTACAGTATACTTAGAGTAATAATCAACTCCAATTAAATAATCTTGATTCTTATAGGTAAACAAATCTACACCTATCTTTTCCCAAGGTAAATCAGGTATAGCATGAGGAATTAGACTCTCACATCTTTTCTGTTTCTGATATTTAATGCATGCATCACAGTTTTCAATCATGCTAATGACATCTTTAGATATACCAGGCCAAAATATGTTCTCCCTTGCTCGGGATAATGTCTTTTCACATCCTAAATGACTAGTATGTATTTTCTTAAGAACATAATCTCTCATGGACACAGGAATAATAACATTACATTGTTTAAATAATATATCATCACATACAGTTAACTCATCTCTATAATTATAATATATTCTTATCAGAGGATCTACTTGATTTTTCTTATTTGGCCAACCTTGTTCTATTTGACTCTTTAACAAACATAAAACTCTATCTTTCTTAGTTTCTCGTATAACATCATTCATAATTCTAGAAGAAATAGCTTTATGCTCTATAATGTTATCAACATGTACTCTAATATCAGTTTCAATCTTATCTGACAAATTACTATCTATTTCTGGTATTGAAGCTCTACTTAAAGTATCAGCAGTTATTAACAATTTACCAGGCACATAATTTACATCTAAATTATAACATTGTAACTTTAGACTCATTCTCTGTAATCTAGGACTAAGTTGATCTAACCTTTTCTTAAAAATAATTTCAAGAGGCTTATGGTCCGTTTCAACTAAAACATATTGACCATAAATATATTGATGAAATCGAGTACATCCAAATAAAATACCTAATAACTCTTTTTCGATTTGGGCATATCTCTTTTCAGAATCTCTAAGTGATCGAGAAGCATATGCCACAGGCTTCCAATCATTATCACAGTTTTGCAAAAGACAACAACCTAGCCCTGTGATAGAGGCATCACAAGAAATTTTGATTGGCTTGTTTAAATCAAAATGTTGTAATACAGGCTGTGAAGATAAAATAGTCTTAACTTGATTCAAACAGTTTTCATGTATATATGTCCACTCAAATTTTACATCATTTTCTGTTAATGCTCTCAACGGTTCAATTATACTTGATAAATGGGGAATATAATTACCCAAATAATTTACCATACCAAGAATTCTTCTAAGGTCCTTTAAATTATTAGGAGAAGGTAACTCTTTAATAGCCTGAATTTTCCTATCATCAGGTTTTATACCTTCTTTAGATATTACTTCCCCCATAAATGTCACAGAATCTATCAAAATTTTACATTTCTCTTTATTAAATTTTAAATTAAGACTCTCTGCTCTTTTCAAAACCTTCTCAAGTGTTTCATCATGGTCCTCCTTAGTTTTAGCATAAATTAACATATCATCATGCACAGTAATAAGATTAGGAATGTCCTCAAAATGTTGACTGACAATCCTATGAAAAATTTCGGGAGCCACATTTAAACCGAATGGTAACCTTAAATATTGATAACGCCCAAAAGGACTATTGAAAGTTGTTAAAGTGGAAGCATCATCAGTTAAACAACATTGCCAAAATCCTTGACTCATATCAAGTTTTGTATAAAATTGTGAATCTTTAAATCGAGACATTATTTCAGATCGTGTCGGCAACATAAAATGCTCTCTCTGAAGATATTTATTTAAATCCCTAGGATCTAAGCAAACTCGAATTTGCCCATTGGATTTTTCAGATATTACAAAACTATTGACAAAATCAGTTGGTTCAGTAACTTTACGAATTACACCAGAATTTTCCATCCTATCTAGTTCACTTTTAAGTTTATCATACATTGAAAAAGCTACATTACGACATGGATGAACAACACCATGAGCCCCTTCAGTCAATTTCAAACTAATAACCCCGGGTAATTTGCCTAACTGTCCATCAAAGGGTTTCGGATGTTTCTTGACCCAGTCATTTTCATCCGTTTTAATGTCTCTTGTAATCTGTTGTACTCTGTTAAGCAACCCTAATCCTTCGGATGTTCTAAGACCTATAATAGGCTGAGCGTCTTTCTCTGTAACTACTGTAAAATAACAATAATACTGTTTATTTCGGACTTCAACCATAGCAACACAACGGCCACAATTTTCTATTGGTTCATTTGTATATGTCTTCAAATTAACCTGCTTAGTATTAAGTTTAACTTTTCCTTTGGAACGTGCCTGCACTTGTCTAAAATATCTAAAGGGTAAAATGTCAACTTGCGCACCACTGTCGATTTTAAAGTTTATTTCAATACCTTCGACTGGTAGTGGAACAATCCATTCATCCGAATCTTCAGAATTATTTATAGAATCTATAAGGAAATCATCATCATTATCAACTGCGTCTTCTTTAACTCTATTATAAGTAAATGATTTATGCGTACCATGTTCCTGTATGTCACTAAAATCATCATAATTTTCTTTATAATCTTCATTATTTCTAACATCATAAACTCCTTTCTTCTTAGTAGCATTATTAGTACCCCAACCGGGATTTGATCTAGGTTGACTACGGCACATTCTAGCAAAATGACCTACACGATAGCAAAGATTACATGTTTTCTGATATGCTGGACATTGTCCTCGTCGATGAGAAAACCCACATCTATTACAATCTTTGGAGTCTGTATTATTACCATACGTTTGATGTGACAGTCTAGTTGTTTTGAATCTACTTCGGCTTCTGTAATTACCTCGATTTCGTGGGCTTCTAAAACGTATTGAATCAACATTTGAGGAATTTGTAACTTCACTACCTGGATTTTGTGACTTTATCAGCTCATGATTTCTAGCCGTTTCTACAGCATTAGTTAGAGTGATATTACCTCTCAACTGTAAAGTTCTAGACACCGTCTTATCAGTTAAACCCCATATAAACTTGTCACGAATATTAGTCTCTCTTTGATCACCAAAATCACACGTCTCACTTAATTTATGTAAAGTTCTGAGAAATACTTCAACAGTCTCTCCAGGATTCTGCTTTCTCTCATGAAATCGTGCCCTTTCTGATATGACGTTACGTCGAGGTACAAAATAATTGTCAAATCTGGCCATGATAGTATCAAAATTTCCCCTCTCGTCTTGGGTAAGAGTGAATGTGGAGAAGATAAATTCCGCTTCATCCCCCATACAATAAATTAAATTACTTGTTTGAACGTGAATATCTTCCTCATTAAGTTTCGTGGCTTCACGATATCGTTTATACCGCCGTTTCCATTCCGGCCATTCATTGGGGTTAAGAAAATCAAATTCTTTAGGTGGTTCCAGCTTCGCCATAATCAAATAAATTACTTAAATGAAATATCTGGACCTATCTTCGGTAAATTATTCTATTTTCATCCTCTGATGCCCACTTCTGACACCATGTTGCGTGGATTGGTTTCTAAAGACAACAAACAATCAATCAGCCATTTGCATCCAGCGTGTATTCTCCAATGATCACATGATCCAAACACAAGGAATTCCCTAAAGGATTTCCCTTACGTCATCATCACTATTTAATACCATAACAATAGTTATGAATTTATTGTTTCACTTGACTAAAGAAACATTTTGTAGGAATGTATGCTTTTATAGATTGGACACTTGTTTGCAATATCATTGTCGGTGGAAACTGGCACTATACCTAAAGAATGACTGAACAAATAACGGAGACGGGGTTTCAGCCGGCTGATTTAAATTATTTCTTTAAATATAGTAAAGCTTGAAATATGTCAGTTTTCCCTCTTTAGAATGTTTTTGTAAATAAGTTTTTATTGTAGTTTCCGTGGCGTATTCCCACTAAGCGTTAGAAACAAAGATATACACCCTTAATCCCGGTGCCGATAAATGTTGGGTTGTGTGGAACATGCTAACAAATCTCAGGTACGATATATGTTTGATTCTGGTTGAGAACAGCATGAGAGCAACATGATTGTTTTCATTGGAGATGAGACGCAAATATTCAAAGGGGTCAGACAAACTCTAAACCAACCGCGTTCCCTTCACTGAGTCCCTTCAAAGGAGGCCCTGTCTGTCTACCTGTGGAATAACATGCATTTGTATCTGTTAAATTTGTGTGGTAGACAGATTGATATTATTTATATAACGTCTTACCCCAAACAAATTGCAAAAGAAACCATGAAGTTTCTGAGAGCGATATTTCGTAATTAGTGTGCTTTAATGGTGGGAGAATAAATAATTAAATTTTTCAAACACAAACTGGTCATATATAAAATAGCATTTTCTGACAAGACCAGCGATAATCTCGTAAGATATGACTTTTACTATTTCTATTAAATGGTTTTCGACGTCTCTTCAAGGTCACCGTCTTGCGCCAAAGTCGTGAAACGCACCGTCGGGGGATTTGTTGGGGCCTGTCTCCCCCAGAAAAATTTCTACAAATTTCAAGTCGGTCTTGCCTGGCCGTGAATACGGCAACCTGAAAGTGGTCGATTTTAATGTAAACATCTGAACTCCAATCAACAAATCAATCAACCAGGCAGTTGTCGTTGCATTCACATGACACCAGACGTGTCACCGATGAAACAAATATACCTGAAACAAATGTCGCTGTTAGTGCGACCCATTTGTGACAATTTCAAGGTCCCAAATAATAGTCCTTTTTTACTATTAATAGTAATTCAATCAGTAAGTGCTATTTACCTTATAATATTCGTCTTAGCTTTTACCCGACATTACACAAAACACCAATGGTAACTGTCGGGTGGTCTCTCCAGTCTTCATGAAGGCGTGTATGGAAAACAGCTGAGACCATGGCTTGTTCACCACCCGAAAAGTTGCATCCATATACCAAGTTTTTGCGCGTGCGAGTAGTTGCATCTGTCTATCAGTACAAAAAATGTGATGGCGCCTTTCCCCAACTTTTACTCTTTTTTGATAAAATCCCGGTGCACTATGATCGATGAAATCTTCAAGCTAAAACAAAAAATAAATAAAAAAGTACATTTAAGTACATGTTAATAAATAAATAAAATTGTACATTTAATTACATGTTAATAAATTCTTATATACATGGGTATTTAATTGCATGAGTACTTACGCTTGACGACACGTCAGTGGGATCTTTTGGTCGCAGAGTCTGTCGGGTTCTTTATAGCGACCTTACAAGTGCTGCAATGGGTGGTCTGCTATGAATGGGTTCTTCTGCAGAACCGACACTGGATAAAACTCTCTCCGCTATTGAGGAACATGCCTTGGTAAAAACATTTCCTTTGGCTTCATGCTTTGCCTGTAATGATAAGATAAAACATATTAAACTACAAATATATTATTGGTTTATTTATATTTTATTTATTTATATATTAAATTCATTTATTATTATAGAGTTAACTAGGTTAACTAGAGTTAATTATGCAGAATTAATATAACACAACATACACAGATGGCAATAGAATGAGACAGTGTTCAGAAAAAGGGCGGAAGAAGACTACCTGTCCTACTTGATTCTAGGACATATATATAGCATGGACCTACTTGATTCGACCAATTTAATACAAGGAAATGAATGGCATAGTTTGTGTCAAGTGAATTTAGTGAACTTTAAACCCCATTTACTCGCCCTCTCTCTACAGAGGTAAATACTTTTCGTGTTACATACAATAACAATTATTGGCCATTATTAAAAAAATATATTAAAAGGAAATGAAATTCTGTTACCTGTTTTTCTTTGTGTAGTACATGCTAACATCAATGACTGGAAAAAAAAATAACGAAACTGTAGAGAAACTTCTGAATCATTGAAAGTCTAATATTAGGCCTACACATTGATGACATTGATATAAAAAAAAGGCTGATTTGTTTGTTGTTGTTTTTTTCTTTTACAGAAATAAGGTTACATTTCAACTAAACAACTAACACAAAAGTTAGTATCTAGCTATAGTCCATGTCTGGATATACATTTCTCCTTTTGCCCGAACGTCTATAAAAATCAAAGATGGCGGCCAATAATTGCAACCGGGTATTACTAGCATGTGCCAACCAAAATTCAATTTTTGAGCTACAGACCTGACATTTTGCACACAGTTAGAAAAACACCTGAGAATCATTAATCTTTTTCAATTATGACAATCGGTTCATAACTTTGTTTTTTGTAGCTAATTTTATATACCCATACGTAAGCAGCGTTTTCCCAAAATCCGTCAAAAACAGGCAAAATTGAAAAAATAATTTTTTGACTAACTGAATGACTTTGGAACAGACTCAAATTGTACACAGATGTTCTAGAGACACACATTTACTAAAATCAACCACAAAAATATTGTTTTTACCTTTTATTTTGACAAAATTTAAAGCAAATCGGACATATTTTGTTCCGAAAAAACATAAAAATAATAACTATAAAAAAAAATCATTAAAAATAGTGGAAATTGTTTTTTGATGATTAAATGGAAACTGGAAACATGTTCTCATGGACAGCTATGAAATATCCATGTTCTCGTGGACAGCTATGAAATATCCATGTTCTCGTGGACAGCTATGAGTATGAAATATCAAAAAATAAAATTATCAAAATAAATGCACTGAATCATAACTAACAAAACTCCAGATTTGAAGTTTTCAGTATAAAAATATAAAAAAAACAGAACAATTCAGCTAAATATCTACAAAATATTCTGCATATACTGAAAAAGTTTTGTAAATATGATTAAACAATACTGATAAAATGAAGGAAAACAGGCTGGAATACATGATACATGAGTTAATAATATATGAGTTAATATTAATAATCTAATTAATATACCGTATGTTAAATAATAAAAATATTGAGACAAACAAGATGAAAAACAAGGTATAAAGAAGTTAACTACAGGTATTTAAGTTGTCAATCATAAAGTCAAGTTAACAGTACTACCGGTAATGAAAAGAGTAACACTGTAAAAACTTCAGAACAGAAACAGGTGAAAAACAGTTATAAATAAGTTGACAGTAATAAATATATGTTAGCTATATTAATAATATTAGTATAAAGTAATAATGGAAAAAGTAACTTTATATAAATAAGTCAATAATATTAGTTAAAAGTTATGGAAAAAAAGGTAAGAAAAAAACATTGAAACAATACATAATAAGTTAAAAACAATGAAAAATGTAACTTGTTATGAAAAATGTAACTTAAAATAAAATAATGAAATAGAACTGATCGAAAACTGTTGCCACATCAGGGTTTCATTGTCACATTTTACTTTAGAAATTATCATTCACAGTCTGCTATCACGGCTTAATTATGAGATCCCCTGCCTCATAATCTTCAGCAAGTTTATAAACATAAACAGCTTTATCCCTTTTATATACTACATTATACCACTCATTGTACCCAGGCACACCTCTGGCTCTTTGCTAGTACTCTCATCGCTTAGCTTCTGTCCACATTCCAATGTGTCTTCTACTAGTTCTTCGGTTGGGGGTAATGTCTCTTCAGAACTACTAGTAGACCTATCCATTTCTCAATAATTAAAAAAAAAAACCTAAAAATAAAAATATAGAAAAGTACTCCTTATTTCTTTTTGTCCCCCGCCTTTCGAAGAAAGCAGGGGACTATTAAAATGGGTTCGTCCGTCTGTCTGTCTGTCTGTCTGTCTGTCTGTCCGTCTGTCTGTCCGTCTGTCTGTCCGTCACACTTTTTGGGACACAATAACTCTCTTCCTAATTGAGCTAGAATGTTCAAACTTGGTGTATGTGTTTATTAGGTCAATGCCTTGATGGAGTTCGAAGATGAGCATTTTCCGCTTAGGGTAAGCAGAGATAAGCAATTTGATTGGTTGATGCTTTGGGACACGATAACTCTCTTCCTAATTGGGCTAGAATGTTCAAACTTGGTGTATGTGTTGATTAGGTCAATGCCTTGATGGAGTTCGAAGATGAGCATTTTCCGCTTAGGGTAAGCAGAGATAAGCAATTTGATTGGTTGATGCTTTGGGACACGATAACTTTTAATTGAGCTAGAATGTTCAAACTTGGTGTATGTGTTTATTAGGTCAATGCCTTGATGGAGTTCGAAGATGAGCATTTTCCGCTTAGGGTAAGCAGAGATAAGCAATTTGATTGGTTGATACTTTGGGGCACGATAACTCTCTTCCTAATTGAGCTAGAATGTTCAATTTTGGTGTATGTGTTGATTAGGTCAATGCCTTGATGGAGTTCGAAGATGAGCATTTTCCGCTTAGGGTAAGCAGAGATAAGCAATTTGATTGGTTGATGCTTTGGGACACGATAACTTTAGTTCTAATTAAGTGAGATTGATGAAACTTGGTGTATAGTTTCATTACAGTAATACCTTGACTAAGTTTGATAATGAGCATTTTCTGCTCAGGGTAAGCAGAGCGATACGCAATTTGATTGGTCGAGACTTTGGAAAACAATAACTCTCCTACTTTGATTGTTAGACTATAAGTAAAGATATACTGTTTGATTGTTCAATACTTTGTAAAAGATAATTTGTGATAAATTTATATGTGTCCTCTAATTATTTTCCTATTTCGGCGGGGGACATCAGCCTCACTGTTGGCTTGTTTTTATTGGGCTTTATTATACCATACAATTCTGAGCTATGTTTGTTTTCGTAAAAAAATCAACTGCACAATCTTAGAAAGTTAAAATTCTTCCTATGATCACTCATTATTAGCACGTGTGTAACTAACGGGTGTCTAACGGTACATTTGACACGCCCCCGCCATTACAATATGGCCGACAGAATTTCGGTCACATGGAGTAAAATTGAATTTTACCAATGTTCACGTCCACTTATGGAAATAAATGAAGATGGATCTTATAAAGGGATATTTAATCCATATTTGAGCAGGTTTTTTTTCGCTCCGCATCTTCCACGAAAAAAGTTACAAAATTTCAAACTTTTCAATCGGAGAAAAAAAATATTCTTACCTTGCTACGAGTGATAAATTTTGCATGCGGAGCAACCTTGACCTCTTAACTAACTGTTTTCGGTTGAATGGAACCGGTATCGATTGCAGGTAACCAACACGAGGCCGTAATGCAAGGCTAGCTTTTCGCGAAAAAATAGCGCCATATTTGTGACTGCCAATTAAGAAAAAAGAGTTACGTCCCTTTTTCGGTTGGCACACGCTAGTATTACTATAAAATCAAGACAGAGTCTTACCTGCTGGTCCTAGTCGCGGGTTTCTTGCAATTATAAGTATTTGAACAACGGTGTAGCGCCGATTAGCTAATAATAATTAAGCACGATTTCAGAAAAATTAAGACAGATTCATTAGATTGCTGAATTAGCGGAACACTTTTAGAACACATCAAAAAAAATTTCTTTGTGGCGCCATTATATAAATAGACTTCCGGTGCAGTCAGTGGCAGTAGTTCTAAATCTGACTGTTTTAAACGAAACGAATTATTATATACATAGAAGCAATATATACATGCTAAATTAAATACACGGTTTTATTTTTTGTAAAAATTTACAAACCTGCGGTCTGGTATTCTATGTGACCATTATAATTTTTTTTAAAATATCACGGCTAAAGCACCCTGTTGATGCTAACTTCACTACATCTATCTAACTGAATGTCGCTGATATAATATCAAAGAAAGAATTTGTCGCAATGACTAAAGTATAGATACTTCTTCTTAGTTAGTTGTATTTTACGTCCACTTCCACCGAAGTGATATCGCAGACAAAAAGTATAGATAACTTGGAGAACCATTATATCAATAAGTCGATTATGAGATACACGTGGATGATCAATTAAATTTGATTGGTTACTTTTCAGTTAACCAATACTGTCCAATTTCGATTACATCAACCAATTACATTATTAAGAGTTTTACTCATTTTTTTTGTTCATTGTACATTGAATCAATTTTCGAAAACACCAGGGTGCTGAAAATCACATGTACACTATATATTCATTTGATCTATCAGTTTATTGGGTCAATAAAAAAAGACAGACATTTTAACTTTACAGACAACTTAACATCAATTAACATTCAAGTCTGTCTGGCAATTGTCTGATTAATTGGTACTCACACCCTTCCAGTGAAGAACAGCATGTGATTTTCGAGATGTGAATTAAGCCCTTTATTACTTTTCTTAAAACTTGACGACTCCCGAATTCAGACTTTGTATGGAGTTTTTTTTTTAAAAAGAAAACAAATCTTGGAAGGTACACATTACTTGTGTTAATGATATGAAAAAAACACAAGATTTTATAAATCGACACAAGTTTGTGTTAATGCAATGCAAAACAACACATAACTTGTGTAGATTAGTTTTAACACAAGTACTTGTGTTGAGATCCAACACAAGTGTTTTTTCAGTGTATGATATAAGATTTAGGCTTAACACGTAGCTTAACACGTATTGACACATTTTGTCTTGAGCTAAGATGTGTGAATCTTACATCAATAAATACAAAAATATGACTAAGTCGAAAGTCGACAAGACGGTATACAAGCCAAAATGCAAGTCGAAAAGTAGAAATTAAGAAAAAACGGGGGGCGCTATTATCGCGGTGTGTTATTTCTTAATTTCCTATTTTCGAGTTGATTTTGGCTTGTATACCGTCTTGTCGCCTCACATTTTGTCGTAACTTCT